CTCTAGTGCAGGAAACTGTCAAATGCTGTTTCTGACTAATTAGACCAGCAAAGACTCAAAGACTCCAGAGACCACCTCAGAAATCAGGATTTTAAAAAGATTCCCAGGTGATTCTAATGTGCAGCCAAGGTTGAGAACCACTGGTCTATAGACTGATAGGATTCTGACTTTAATGACCCCAGACAATTGTCCTCAGGTGAGGCTAGAGTTTTTTTCAACAGGATGGGATGGTTGCTTCTGTCTGGTGGCTAATTGTTATTTTTAGTCTCTTAAGTGGCCTCAGGGCAAGGTGTTTTCCAATAGGGTAGGTCAACTGTCTTCCCCCCAGGAAGTCAAATCTCTGTGTGGGAAAGATGTCCTTTGCTGTGTGAGGGAATGACTCAGCACTGGAAACTGGGGGTGTCTGCCTTCTAAGTTCTAACCCCTGTGTCCCCAATCCTAGCTTCTGCTCACACTACTCTAGTCCACTCTACCCTTCCTCCGCCAGAGCGCAAGGTAGGTGGTTCCACAGGGTATTTTGTGCATTGGCCCTTTAAGAGGGGGCCTGAATTTCTAGCTGTCTCTTCCTGGAAATTCACAGCCACATGTTATGTGGGTACCCTTCTCAGGAGTGGTGCTCTCTGCTGGGGGGCCCATCTTGGGGATTAAACCACAGAATTCTCAGTGGCAACCCTTCACAGCTGAGATATCTCTCTGGGACTTCAGTTGCTGTCTGTGGGAGCCCACCAGCCCTTTCGCACCTTTGCACTTTTGTCCTGTCTCTATGTGGTCACCACTGTTGGTCCACAGTCATCAGGAAGTTTTTCTATATTTTATTTGTAGTTTCAGTTTGGTCCTGGGAGCATTTCCATGCAGCATCCACTTTCTTCACCACTGTTTGTAATCTCTTTTCTGAACAGCAGATCTTAATTGATGGCCTCTCATTTTCAAGACTAAAACTTGATCCATGACACTAATATTCAAAATTCCTAAATTCAAAACCTTAGTCTTGCCCTCATAGTTCTTCCCTCATTCCTAAGTTACTTCTACATATATCCACTGGTAAATCATCATGGATAGCTTTTATGAGGCTAATGTATTCTTTTCCCAAAGCCCTCCATTTTTTTCTCAAAAGAAGAGACCAGAACAAACAATAGTACACTAGAAAAACTGATTATAATTTTTTAATAATTTTATTGAGGTGACATTAATAAAATTATATAGGTTCCAACTCTATAACTCTATAATACATCTATGGTGTGCCCACCAATGAAAGTCAAATTTCTTTCCAACATCATACAGTCTACCCCCTCTACACTTAACTATACCTCTACCCTTCTTCCTTTTAGTATCTACCATACTGTTGCCTATGTCTATGAGATTTTGTTTGTTTGTTTGTCTTGATTGTTCATTTGTTGCTTTCAGTTTTATATCCCACATGTGAGTGAAATCATATGGTTCTTAATTTTTTTTCTATCTCACTTATTTTGCTTAGCATGATATTCTCAAGGTACATACATGTATGTTGTCACAAATGGCAGTTTTTCATCTTTCTTATGGCTGAGTAGTACCCCATTGTGTGTGTGTGTGTGTGTGTGTGTGTATCTACACATACACACACACACACACACACACACACACACATATATAATAGTGGCCCAGTGCATGACATTTGTGCATGGGGTGGGGGGCCCTCAGCACAGCTTGCACCCTCTCCAATCCAGGACCCCTTGGGGAATGTCCGACTGCCAGTTTAGGCCCGATCCCAGCAATTGAGCCTAAACTGGTAGTTGGACATCCCTTTCACAATCTGGGACCACTGGCTCCTAACTGCTCACCTGCCTGCCTACCTTATCACCCCTAATTGCCCCTGCCCGCTGTTCTGGTTGCCACCAACTGCCACCCCCCCACCAGCCTGTTTGCCCCTAACTGCCTCCCCACCCTGCCAGCCTGGTTGCCCCACAGAGCCTACTGTTGAGTCGTTTGGTGATCCCTCACTAACCCCCCCTGCCAGTCGGGTCACCCCATGCAGCCTGCTGTTCAGTTGTTACTGTTACTGTGATGGGGTCCTGGACAATTTGCATATTCCTTTATTAGTAGTTTATATCAATATATATATATATATATATATATATATATATATATATATATCTTCTATATATAATATCTTAGTTATTCAACCCTCTATCAAAGGACATTTTGTTCGTTTTCATATCTTGGCCACTGTGAATAATATTGCAATGAACATAGGGGTGCATATATCTTTGAGAATAGATGTTTTCAAAAATTTCAAGTAGATACACAGAAGAGGGTTTGCTGGGTCATATGGTAACTCTACTGTGAATTTTTTTAGGAACCTCCATACTCTTTTCCATAGTGGTGGTATAAGTTTTTATTACCACCAGCAGTGAATGAGGATTCCTATTCTCCACAACCTCTCTAACACTTACTTGTCTTCTTGATAATAGCTATTTCAACATATGTGAGGTGGCATCTAATTGTAGTTTTGATTTGCATTTTCCCTAATAGCTAGTAAAGTTGAATGTCTTTTCATATATGTTGGCCATTTTTATGTCTTCTTGGGAGGAGTATCTGTTCAGGTCCTCTGCCCATTTTTAATTGAATTGTTTGGTATCTTTTTTATTGTTGAGTTGTATGGGTTCTTTATATATTTTTTATATTAACCCCTTGCTGGAGCTGTTATTTGCAAATGCATTCTCTCATTTGGTTGGTTCTAATTTTTTTATTTGCATAATTGTTAAAATAGGTTTTAGAATATTTAAAATCATAAATTATTTTTGGAAAATATTTGTTATAAATCTTAAGAGGCCACATGCACACTTTTATCAATAACAAGATTTGAATTAAAGAAATATTAGTTTTACCTTCATGTCAGTATATATAAGAATAAACAAAATAAGGTAACTTCCAACTTTTTTGATTTTGTGATGCCCAATTCCAAATATTAGTAGTGTCTACTTCAACTTAACAATTACATATGAGTGTATTAATGTGGAAGAGAATAAAGTACATTTAAAGGCAACATAGAAAATTAAACATTAGAAAAGACAATCAGCATTAGATTTTGTATTTATGACTTCAAGTACTGAATGTCAAATTTAAAATATATACAAATTCATTCATTCATTCTAAAAGCACATTTTTATTATTTTCTTTAAAAACAATTTGCATTACCTACTTTTTAATATAGTCATTTCTCAATTGTGTGGATACTGTATCCCTGTAAATGGACTTCATTTCTAATTACGTAAGGAAAGTTTTACTGTTATGCATTTAGTGACATAACTTTTATTCTGCTTAAATTGATATTTTATCAACATCAGCAGGATATTTGATTTTTTTCTAGTCCAAAGGGAGATGTGAATGAAAAATTTTCCACAGTAAGCTCTTTCTGCTGTAATTGAGGGCAATGAACTGCTGCATGACCCAGTAGGAGTAAAGTTAGGCAGGGTTAGAACAAGCGGCCAGACATTCAGATCCTTGTTGTTTTATTTCGTTTTCTTATAAAAATAAGGGGAATCAACTTTTTAAAAATCACAGGGATTATTATTCACAGAGATTGTTTAAAAATCTTCTCAAAGTATTGATTCTAACAGCTACTCTTTTATCCATTACCACAAAAAGAGAGCATAGTTAAGCACAGTTTCTATTTATATTCTAGGCAAATCTGCATAGGAATCTTCAAGGTTCTTGTAATTTCTTATTTTCACTTAAATAAAAAAAAACACAACATTTTACTTTCTTTTTTAATATAAAATGTGAGTTGTGCCTGGCCAGCGTGGCTTAGTGGTTGAGCATCGACCTATGAACCAGGAGGTCATGGTTTGATTTCAGGCCAGAGTATATGCCCAAGTTGCAGTCTTGAGGCTTAGTGGGGCTAGTTCAGGAGGCATCCAATCAATGATGTTTCTATCTCTCTCTCCCTATCCTTTCCTCTCTGAAATCAATAAAAATATATATTTAAAAATAAATAATCAGATAAAATAAATGTGAGTTGTATTCAACTATTTTGATAATAGAGAACATGAAAAGCATCTAATTTTATATACTCTAGTAAACAGGTTGATAATATCTCTAAAAGTTTTCAAAATGTTGTGATGTAATGTTTCATAGCCTTCATGTCATCTTTAACAGTTAGACCTAATTGTATATAGTCTAGTAAACTGGTTAAGAATATCCCCACAAAATATAATGAACAACATAAACTGATGAACAAAAACAGATCCAGAGACAGAGAAGCATCGATCCGACTGTCACAAGTCAGAGGGAAGGGGAGGGTGGGGTTAAGGGGAAGAGATCAACCCAAGGACTTCTATGCATGCATATAAACCTAACCAATGGACACAGACACCAGGGGGGTGAGGGCATGGCCGGGGGGGGGGGGGAAATGGAGGTATAAGGACACATATGTAATACCTTAATTAATAAAGAAAAAAAAAGAAAGAAAAGATAAAAATCACAAAAGAAAAAATAGTAAAGCTACTTCAGCCTATCTGAATTCCAATAGCTGTCTCTTCAGCTCTGCAAGATTCTTAGACTCGTTTTACACAGCCTTTGCTGGGGCTGGGAAACAGACTCCTGTAGTAATATAGGACAGTTGTAAGATTTACTTCATTTTCTTCCTTCTCTTAGGTACCACAGTCCTATAAGGCCTTTTTTCAAATATCTGAAAAGAACATTTTCATATATATTTTCTGTTTTTTAAGGTATTTATAGCGAGAATACAATTCCTGAATCAGGTAGGCTTTTTTTTTTTTTTTTTTTTTTTTTTTTTTTTTTTTTGGACCAGTTGTATAAACTTTAAAACATATAAAGTGGAATATTTTTTGAGCTTTTAAACAAATATCCAATTTCCATGTTTCCTGTTTTTTTTGTGAAAATAAACATGCTTCTCAAATTTAAAAAATAAAAAAAAGAAAGAAAGAAAAAAGAAAAAGAAGAATATCCCCACAAGTTTTCAGTGTTGTGATGTAATGTTCCCGGTTCTGTCTCCCTCACAGTTAGACCTGATCGTTGTGCACCAGCAGGTGGAGCTTCTTGGAAGTAAGTGTATCCTCTTCTATTAAAGTTGTTGAAAATATCTTAGGTTTCAGAAGTTCCTTTATATCTAAATATTTTATAAATGATAGTTAAATGTTTAGAATAACTTTATTTAAAAATAGCACTATTTTATTTTTAAAAAATAAACATTGAAAGTAAAATTATTAGGCTGACGAAAATAAGCCTAAAAGCATAAAACTCTCCAAGTCTTTGGTGATATGCCGTTAGAAATCTAGCATTATTTTTAATCTTAAAATTATTTTTTTAAAATGTGATCATTTCCTTGGTTGCTAGTACTTTTATTTTTTCTTAATAATTCCAGAAATGGAAATCAAGTTTAAGACTAAATTTTTAAAAAATTATCTAAACAAAATTCCACTGTTTTATGATTTCATCAGTGATTCATCAAATTGGCAAATTAACAATAAACAAATTTACAAGTGTGACTAACTTGCAAATTACTTGAGTATTTTTGTTCTTAACATATGATATTATTTCTAAAATATGTCAAAATTGAAATAGATAGTAGAATAACATACACCTGTAGATATATTGCCAGACAGAGATTTTAGACAAAATTCTTAGTATCATATGAGTTGTTCCAATAAATTTCATACCAATGACAGAATTATTATTTGAGTACAGCATTCGGTTATTGTTGACAGCATTGCTTTCCCAGTTGAAAGTGGTATTGCATGTTTCCAAGTAGAGCATTGATCTAGAATAAAAATTTATTCATCTCACAGCTCTGTTCTCAGAGTTTACTTTGACTTTCATGGAGAATGCTCAAGTTTTAGAGCATGGATGTAGATTTGTGTAAAGAAAGTACAATATTCTTAATAAATAATCTGTCACTGTGTTTGTTTGTTTTTCGTTTAAAGGCATGATACTAAGCACAGCATTATTTTGATGAATTTTCTTTTTTGCTCCATCAGTGATACTTGGCACTGAAACTGTAAACAAATATGAGATTAAAAACAGCTTGGGACAAAGAATATACTTTGCTGTGGAGGAAAGTGTCTGCTTCAATCGTACTTTCTGTTCCACACTTCGATCTTGCACTCTGAGGATCACAGACAACTCGGGTCAAGAGGTGATTACAGTAAACAGGCCCTTGAGGTGTGACAGCTGCTGGTGTCCTTGCTTCCTACAAGAGGTTGGCTCTGGTGTGCTTTTCCCTTCTAATTTTGAAAAGATTAGCAAACATTTCTTTAATAAATGGCATTCATTTAGAACTATGGGGCCTTTCAATTGTTTGGATTGGTACATCACTCCTTTAGAATCAGAACACCTTGAAGATTTGGTAATTCACTAATATTTTTTCCCTTTCCAACCAAAAATGATAGTGGCTTCTGTGATGTTAATTGGTGAAGATAGCTCATGCATCATGTAAATGAGACATACCTTCCTGAATCTTGTTAATAGCATTTAATTGTAATATCTATGAGTTCCACCATTAAGCAAATCTATCCTTTGTCCCTTTGTCTTCTCTCACTGTAGCAAAATTCAGGAAGTGTCAAGTAATACTGAACTCTTCTAAGGTGGTTTCTCTTAGTTAGGTAATATTATTTAGTACAGATGTCACATTGCTTGCTCTCGTTTATGACAAACATCAAGGTTTGGAAAAGACAATGTTATTGTTCTAGAGCAGTGGTTCTCAACCTTCTGGCCCTTTAAATACAGATCCTCATGTTGTGACCCAACCATAAATTTATTTTTGTTGCTACTTCATAACTGTAATGTTGCTACTGTTATGAATCTAATGTAAATATCTGATATGCAGGATGGTCTTAGGCAACCCCTGTGAAAGGGTAGTTCGACCGCCAAAGGGGTCGTGACCCACAGGTTGAGAACCGCTGTTCTAGAGGGAATGATTCAATTATTTTATTTCAATATATAATAAATTCCATTACTCTTTAATGGACCTGTAATAATAGCTCTTATTGACATAATGCAGGTGATAAAGAACATTTACTTACTTAGACATCTTCAGTATCATGACATCTCTATGAGCTATAAAGAACAGATTTTACTCTCCACATTTTGCAGTTGAGCAAACTGATGCTTAGAAACTGGAGATGATTTACCTATGATCACATATCTAGAAAATTTCATAAATGGGACTTGATCCACGTGTTCTTATTCAAGCCTACGTGTCTTAATGAAGTAGTGTACAAATACTCTATTAAGTAGTGTATAAATACTCTATTTAGGACAATGGAAATAAATATTAATGAAAGAAGGATAATTAGGGAAGTTTATTCTCCAACTAATTCTCCAACTATTTATAGCTAATCACCTGGCTAAGTGATAAGATAGCTAAGGTACTTATACATGAACCCAAGAATTTCTATCCTCCCACTGAGGATATTTAAGATCTAATATGGCCCAACATGGTATAGTCAGTATAATCACAGAATATTTGAATATTTCTGATAATTGATGTTTTATTTTTATAGTAGTCATTATCACATAAATTAAACATTAGATGTATCTTGATACCCATTAATAATTTAAAAATTTTTGTCATAATCAAACCAATAACTTTGAAAGGGATCCCAGAACAATTCTATGTAATTCTAAGCAGTCTTGTTGAAACTACTTTTGTTTATGCAAAAACACTATAGACATATACATAAGACTATTAACTTAATAAATAAGAAAAGACAGAATGAGATCTGATGATGGAGAGTTAGTTTGATTTAAAAGCAAACAATTTTCATTATTTGCACCCACTTCCAGCTTATTATACAAAGGATTTTATTTGGGAAAATGCTTAATTGCAATAATTGCTTGTTTTTAACACTTTGGAAAAAGTTAACAGTGATGATATAGGTGTGTAATAACTGAACTCTTCAGAAACATTTACTTTTAATAGAACACAGAGGATCTGGAAGTTGACAATCTGAAGAGAAGAAATATGCATACTTAATAATTGATAAGAGGCTTAAAAATAGATGTGTATTGTGGCAACAACTGAAAAGAAGTAGATACTAGGGCCCTCAGGGGAAACAACTTTCCATGCTTGACAAACTGCTGTAATTGGAACAAAAACGGCAAAGAATCCAGTGTCCCAGGTTCAAAAGACAGTTCTGGGATAGGTTCTCTTTAGGAAATAAGATCAAAGATATGGACTTTTAGTGCATAATACCAAACATATATCTATACAGTGAGTTTCTTCATTTCTATAAAATATGAATAAACACTGCTTTGCTTCCTTAGAACCAGATATTTAAAATGACTTGTATAATGTGAAAATAATTTCATAAAAGTATATTGTTTAGAAGTAAATTTAAATTATAATAAAATTAAAATACAATAACCTTAGAGAATCTTATTTTATTATTATTTCTTCTTCCAGTTAGAAATCCAAGCTCCTCCTGGTACTGTAGTTGGTTATGTGGCACAGAAGTGGGACCCATTTCTGCCTAAATTCACAATACAAAATGCAAACAAAGAAGATATTTTGAAAATTGTTGGTCCTTGTGCAACATGTGGCTGTTTTGGTGATGTGGATTTTGAGGTATGATCGACAAAATGAAGGAAGTTTTCGCTTAGATCCTGATTTGTTGCAACATAATTCAATTCTTTTAAATGTTCAAATAATGAAATATTTCTGTAATAAATTTAGAAAATAATATATATTGTGAAATAATGTAATAAACCAATATTTTACATCCCTATAGTAACTTATAATTTCAGAAACACTAAGGAATTTTTAAACATACTACAAAAATTTTATTTATGTAGAAGTATAGCACCCATGGTATAAAGCAAATATATATAGTTTAGAGTCACATAAATTACATCCTATAGCCCTGGTGGTAACATACCCCAGTTCAGATCTCATCTCAGAAGCATATTCCATTAAAATATCACCAATTGAAAAGTTATGTTCATAAGACCTGCTATCTTTGTTTTATAGAACAACATATTCTCACATAAATGTATTTATGTAAATTGAATGTTAAAAAACAATAAGTTGTTGCATATCAATATGAACTATCTTAGTTTCTCCACCTTAGGCAGAGGATATGGTCTGATTTAAACTGTATATTAATTTTTTATTTATTCATTCATGTGCAGCACCTAAGATGTTCAGTTTAACAGCATTCACATAAGATAACAATGAAAATTTTGCAAAAGGAGATCTCTTAACTCCACTCCATTCCAAAAAGACGTGGCGTGGCTCTAATAAGAATAAAGTATAAAAACATGCCCTATGATCAAAGAAGAAATTAGACATAGAGTTTTAATATTCTGGGTATAGGGATGTCCTAGGTAACTTTCTCTATTTTCTATCTTCTACTGACATACTGAAAATGAAAGTTTATATTGAATCATTTTCAGCCTTTGAATGGGAAACAAGGCAAGCAAATGAATAGCTGATAAAGTTTCATTGTGAACGCCTAGCTGAGGAGGACTATAGATTCTTTTTTTATGTCAAATTAGTCTGAACTTCCTATGTGGTATATTAGGACTTTTTAATGCAAAAATATTGCTTATGATTGGTTATTCAAGAAATTAGCTAGTAAATGTCTAAGTATAATATAAAAATGAGATTAAGCAATGGCTAATAAAATTTAAATGTGTTTGTATTTATAAAATCAGTAATAAAATTTAGAAGTTAACAAATTGTACATAGAAGTGAAGCTAATTCCTCCTAAAGCCTTTATCTATTTCTTTCTCTCTCTCTCTCCCTCTCTCTCTCTCTCTCTCTCTCTTTATTTTTTTTATGAGGAATTGAGGTTTAAAATTTGGACCTCCAGTAAGGAATTACCTTTCTGGTTAGACCACATAATTGAAACTATATATGTACCTGCTGCCATCTTGTGGTCAGCTGGCCTTAATTGTGTATTGCTATTACATTCTGCATCTATATCCAAAACAAAATAAAAATTTATGATGGATTAGAAAACTGTCAGGAAAGCAAAATTCCTGAACAGTGAAATGGAAAGTTAAATATATAAATTATGCTTATATAAAGGAATGAGTAACATCATATTGTCATTTAGAGACGATGAATAAAATAATCTCTTATGAAATAAGCATGTGAAGAAATATAAGACCATCTGTTTACATTCCTCTTATTTTCTTTTCAAAGGTGAAGACCGTTAATGAAAATCTTACAATTGGGAAGATTTCAAAGTACTGGTCCGGGTTTGTAAACAATGTTTTCACCAATGCTGACAACTTTGGGATTCATGTTCCTGCGGATTTAGATGTGCGAGTCAAAGCAGCCATGATTGGTGCCTGTTTTCTCTTTGTAAGTATGGTCTTGAAGAGTGTAACTGACTTATTTCTCTCCCTTTCAATTGTCAATTACAGCATTTCACACTCCCCCAGTTCTAAGCTTTATATAGAAGGCTAGTTTAGAACCAACATTCTTCAGGAATGAGAATGCATTTCTGGTAGGCAGACCTTCTTGTATTTCCTCAAAACCTGAGTTTCCCTTCTCTTTCAAATTCAATTTATATTTTTGGCTTGTTTTCACTTTCACTGAAAAATATGTAAACAAAAGTATCCCAATTATTTACCCTAGATAAAGTTCAGGGCAGTTTCATTGCTTAACAATGAACTAGGTGATGTTCAGAATGTGAAAAGAGCCCTGTTCTTGCCCTTCTGATGTGTGCATAGATATAGGAGATGGCAGATTTTCCATGTTATAAAGATATTATCTCTGTCCTTTCTTTCCAACTTTCAACTTAATTAGCAACCTTTTCTTCTTTGGTTTTGGATAGAAGAATAGAAGTCTGATAATACCTGTGCCAAAGGATTGGTTGTCTCCTGTTCCTGATGTCCCTCCAATATCTTGCTCACTGCCCAGCATTTTCAGTGCAGTAACAAAAACTCATGGAATTTAAAAATAAAACTACAGAAGATTAAAAATGGTGGCAGAGTAAGTGGATGCTTCATGAACATGCTCCCAGAAACAAACTGAAATTACAACTAAAATAGAGAAAAAACTTCCATAATAATCAATGGAATACTCGCAGGAGAGAACCCTGATACACAAGGACTGAATGTGGAGACTGCATAGAGCCTGGTAGGAGGGGCAGAGGCACAAAAGGGCTGGCCAGGCACCCACAGAAAGCAACTGAGGTTCTGGAGAGATATCTCAGCTGTGGGGGATTGCCACTGAGAATTCTGGGGTCTAAGCTCCAAGATGGGCTCCCCAGCAGAGATCACCACTCCTGAGAAGGGTACCAACATAACATGTGGCTGTGAAAAGCAGCAGGGTAGTTATCTGCCAAGAAGAGAGAGTTGGAATTTCAGGCACCCTCTTAAAGGGCCAATACACAAAATTCCCTGTGGAATGACCCACCTGGTGCTTCCACAGAGGGAGGGCAGAGTGTACTAGAGCTATGTGAGCAGGAGCTAGGATTGAATACTTGGGGGTTAGAGCTCAGAAGGCAGATATGCACAGTTTCCAGTGCTGAGTCATTCCCTCACACAGCAGAGGACATGTTTCCCACACAGACATTTGCTTTGCGTGGGGGGAAGACAGTTGACACATCCTATTGGAAAACACATTCCCCTGAGGCCACTTAAGAGACTAAAAATAACAATCAGCCTCCAGGCAGCAACCACCCCACCCTGTTGAAAAAAAAACTCTAGCCTCACCTGAGGACAATTGTCTAGGCTCTAGAGCCATTAAAGTCAGAATCCTATCAGTCTGTAGACCAGTGGTTCTCAACCTTGGCTGCACATTAGAATCACCTGGGAATCTTTTTAAAATCCTGATTTCTGGGCCTCATCCTCCGGAAATTCTGTTTCTAGAATTTCTGTATTTTTCTGTATTTTAGTTGTAATTCCAGAAGTAACAAAGAAACAGAATCTCTGGAGGGTGAGGCCCATAAATCAGGATTTTAAAAAGATTCCCAGGTGATTCTAATGTGCAGCCAAGGTTGAGAACCACTGCTGTAGACAGAGGTGGTCTCTGGAGTCTTTAAGTCTTTGCTGGTCTAATTAGTCAGAAACAGCATTTGACACTGTCCTGCACTAGATTGAGAGGCATAGAGGATCTACCTAACACAAACCCAAAAAGATGGCCAAAATGAGGAGACAAAGAAAAAAAAATCCAAATGAAAGAAAAACAGAATTCTCCAGAAGAAGAGAAAATGAAGCAGAGATAAGAAATTTATCTGAAACAGTTCAGAGTAATGATGGCAAAGAAGCTCAACAGCATGAACAAAAATATAGTAACTATGAAAAAAGGATGGTCAGAAATGAATAAAGACATAACACAAATAAAGAACGCTTGGAAGGAATACGCAACATATTAGGGGAAGTTGAGGACCAAATCAGTGAATTAGAAGACAGGGTTGAAAAAAATCACTCAATCAGACAACCAAAAAAACAAGAGGACAGCTTAAGGGAGCTGTGGGACAATGTGAAACATAACAATATTCAAATAGCAGGGTTGCCAGAAGAGGCAGAAAGGGAGTAAGGGACAGAGAATGTGTTTGAAGAAATAATGGCAGAAAACTTCCCTGAACTGTTAAAGGAAAAACTCACACAGGTTCAGGAGGCACAGAGAACACCAAGAAAGAAGAACCTAAACTGGTCTACAACCAGATACATCATGATTAAAATGCCAAAATTTAAAGACAAAGAGCAGATCTTAAAGGCAGCAAGAGGAAAGAAAACTGTTACTAGAAAGGAACTCCCATATGGCTGACGCCTGATTTCTCACCAGAAACTCTACAGGCCAGAAGGGAATGGCATGAAGTACTCAAGATAATGGAAAGCAATGATCTGAAACCAAGATTACTATATCCAACAAGGCTGTCATTCAAAATAGATGGTCAAATAAAGAGCTTCCCAGACAAAAACAAAAACAAAAAAACTAAGGGAGTGTATCATGACCAAGCAAGCATTTAACAAGAATTGCTAAAGGGACTGCTGTAATGAGAAAAAGAAACACGGAGAGAATCCTAGGCATTCAGAATTAAAATGGCAATAAATAAGTGCCTATCAATAATAACCCTAAATGTAAATGGATTAAATGATTCAATCAAAAGGCATAGGATAGCTGAATAGATACAAAAACATGACCCAACTATATGCTGTCCAAAAGAGACCCACCTCAGAACAAAAGACACACACAGGATGAGAGTGATGGGATAAGAAAAAATTTTCGAAGCAAATGGAAAAGAAAAAAAAAAGCAGAATAGCAATACTCATTTCCAACAAGATAGACTTCAAAATGAAGGCCAACAAAAGAGACAACAAAGTAACTATATAATACTGAAGGGATCAATCCAACAAGAGGCTATAACCCTGGTAAACATATATGCACCCAATATAGGAGATTCTAAATATATAAAAATCCTTCTAGAGGACTTTAATGGAGAGATCAACAAAAATACAGTCATAGTAGGGGACTTTTAACACCCCGCTGAATTCACTGGATAGATCTTCCAGACAAAAACTTAACCCAGAAACAGTGACTCTAAAGGACACACTGGGTCGGATGGATTTAATTGACATTGATAGAACATTTCATCCCAACACAGGAGAATATACATTCTTCTCAAGTGCACATAAATCATTCACAAAGATAGACCACATGTCAGACACAAAACAAGTCTCTAAAAGTTCAAGAAGATTGAAATATCAAGCATCTTCTCACATCATAGTGGAATGAAATTAAAATCAACTACAGTAAAAACACCCCAAAGCATTCAAACACATGGAGGCTAACATGTTATTAAATGATGAATGGATTACCAATGATATCAAGAAAGAAATAAAAACCTTCCTGGAAACAAATGAAAAGGAACACACAGCAACCCAAAATGTCTGGGACACAGCAAAAGCAGTCCTTAGAGGCAAGTTCAAAACACTACAGGCATACCTCAAAAAACAAGAAACGTCAACAACAAACTAACCTTACAACTTAAAGAACTAGAAAGAACAAGAAAAGCCCAGAGTAAGTAAAAGGAAGGAAATAATAAACAGAGCCAAAGTAAATAACATAGAGACTGAAAAAAACAAAATACAAAAACTAAATGAAACCAAGAGCTGATTCTTTGAAAGGATAAACAAAATTGATATATCGTTAGCTAGACTTGTCAGAAACAAAGAGAGAGGACCCAAATAAATAAAATCAGAAACAAAAGTGTATTTCTGTGGTGTATTTCTGACACCACAGAAATACAAAGGATTGTAAGGAAATACAGTGGGTCCTTGACTTACGAGTGTCCCGACTAACGAGTTTTTCGAGATATGAGCCGTCTCTCGGCTGATTTTTTGCTTTGAGTTGTGAGCTAAAATTTGGGTTACAAGCCAGCTTCAGATACCCCACCACTAGTTGGAGCAGTGAACGTCACAGTGAATGCCACAACATCAGCCCAGCATCATGTGTCTCACTCATTCACTTCTTGATTTGACATATGAGTAATTTGAGTTATGAGCGCTATCATGGAACAAATTAGACTCATAAGTCAAGGCCCCACTGTACTATGAACAACTATAGGCCAACAAGCTGAACAATGCCCAAGAAATGGACAAATTTCTAGAAAAATACAATCTCCCCAAACTGAATCAGGAGTAATCAGAAAACCTGAATAGGCCAATAACAACTAATGAAATAGAAGCAGTAATAAAACCTCCCAGCAAACAAAAGCCAAAGCCCGGATGGCTTCACCGGGGAGTTTTACCAAACATTCAAAGAATGAATACCTATACTCCTCAACCTATTTCAGAAAATCCATGAGGAAGGAACACCTCCAAGCTCTTTTTATGAGGCAAGCACTATCCTAATTCCAAAACCAGATGAAGACACTACAGATAAAGAGAATTATAGGCCAATATCCCTGATGAACATAGATGCTAAAAACCTCAACAAAATGTTAGCAAATCAGGTCCAGTAATATATTACAAAGATCATACACCTTGACCAAGTGGGATTTATTCCAGGGATGAAAGGCTGGTACAATATTTTCAAATCAATAAACGTGATACATCACATAAACAAACTGAAAGACAAAAATCACATGATCATATCAATAGAAGCAGAAAAACATTGCATAATATCCAACACATATTTTTGATAAAAAAAAAAAGAAAACTCTCAGCAAAGTGGGAATAGAGGAATTATACCTGAACATAATAAAAGCATTATATGACAAACCTACAGCCAACTTCATACTCAATGAGGAAGAACTAAAGCCATTTCCCATAAGAACCAGAACAAGACAGGAATGTCTGCTCTCACCACTCTTATTCAACATAGTACTGGAAGTCCTAGCCACAGCGATCAGACAAGAGGAAGAAATGAAAGGCATCCAAATTGGAAAGGTGGATGTAACACTCTCATTATTAGCAGGTGACATGATATTGTAAACCGAAAGACTAAAGAAAACCTAAAGACTCCACCAAAAAACTATTACATTTAATAAATGAATTTATCAAAGTAGCAGGATACAAAATCACCACCCAAAAGTCAATGGCTTGTATACACACCAATAAGGAATTCTCAGAAAGAGAAACTAAACAAACAAACCATTTACCATTGTAACAAAAAAATTAACAGTTAGGATTTAACTTAACGAAGGAGGACAAATACCTGTACTCAGAAAACTACAGGATGCTGAAAAAAGAGATAGAAGGAGATATAAGCAAGTGGAAGACAATACCATATTCATGGACTGGTAGAATCCTATATAATAAAAGCCTAGGTGGAGTCGTGTGACGCCCTTGCGCGAGGTTGTCATAAGATGGCCGCCCTCGCATTATCACAGGATGGCTGCCACAAGATGGCCACCACAAGATGGCTGCCACAAGATGGTCACCACAAAATGGCCAGCAGGGGAGGGCAGTTGTGGGCACTCAGGCTGGCAGGGGAGGCCAGTTGGGGATGAACAGTCCAGCAAGGGAGGGCAGTTGGGGGTGACCAGTCCTGCAGGGGAGGGCAATTGGGGGGACCAGGCCTGCAGGGTAGGGCAGTTGGGGGCAAATAAGCTGTCATGGGAGCAGTTAGGCGTCAATCAGGCCGGCAGGGGAGCGGTTAGGGGGCGATCAGGCTGGCAGGCAGAAGTGGTTAAGGGCATTCAGGCAGGCAGGCAGGTTAAGAGGCAGGAGTCCCAGATTGTGAGAGGGATGTCCGACTGCCAGTTTAGGCCAGATCTCCAAAGGAGTCCCAGATTGGAGAGGGTGCAGGCCAGGCTGAGGAACACCCCCTGTGTGAACGAATTTCATACACCAGGCATCTAGTCAACATCATAAAATTGTCCATACTTCCCAAGGCAATCTACATATTCAACACAATCCCTATTAAAATACCAAGAGCATATTTCACAGACCTAGAACAAAACTCCAAAAATTTATATGCAATCAAAAAAGACCCCAAATAACTGAAGCAATTTTAGGGGGGGGGGGAATAACAACAAAAAAACAAAGTTGAAGGAATCACAATACAAGATTTCAAGTTATACTACAAACCCACCATAATGTAAAGACCCTGGTACTACACAAGAAAAGGCATATAGATCTATGGAACAGAACAGAGACCCCATAAATGCACCCAATCTATTATGCTCAAATAATATTTGACAAAGGTGGCAAGAGCATACAATGGAGTGAAGACAGTCTCTTCAATAAATGGTGTTGGGAAAATTGGTCAGATACATTCAAAAAAATGAAACTAGATCACCAACTTTCACCATACACAAAAATAAACTCAAAATGGATAAAGGACTTAAGTGGAAGACGAGAAACCATAAAAATCTTATAAGACTCCATTGGCAGTAAAATATCAGACATATGTCATAGCAATATATTTACTGATACAGCTCCTAGGGCAATGGAAACTAAAGAGAAAATAAACAAATGGGACTACATCAAAAAAAAAAAAAACTTCTGCACAGCAAAAGAAAGCATGAAAGGAAGAGAGAGAGAGAGAGAGAGAGAGAGAGAGAGAGAGAGAGAGAGAGAGAGAGAAGAAGAAGAAGAAGAAGAAGAAGAAGAAGAAGAAGAAGAAGAAGAAGAAGAAAGGAAGGAAGAAAAGAAGGAAGGAAGGAAGGAAAGAAGGAAGTCCACGGCATGGAGAACATATTTACCAATGTTATCTCCAATAGGGTTTAATCTCCAAAATGTATAGGGAACTCATACAACTTAACAAAAGAAAGATAAACAATCCAATCAAAAAATGGGCAAATGACCTAAATAGACACTTTTTGAAAGAGGACATACAGAAGGCCAAGAGATATATAAAACATGCTCAAGTCACTAATCATCCAAGAGATGCAAATCAAAACAACAATGAGGTGCCATCTCACACCTGTCGGACTGGCTATCATCAACAAATCAACAAACAAGTGCTGGTGAGGATGTGGAGAAAAGGGAACCCTCTTGCACTGCTGGTGGGAATGCAGACTGGTGCAGCCACTGTGGAAAACTGTATGGTGTTGCCTCAAAAAGTTAAAAATGGAACTCCCATTTGACCCAGTAATCCCACTTCTAGAAAAATATCACAAGAAACTAGAAACACCAATCAGAAAGGATATATGCACCCCTATGTTCTTAGCATCACAATTTACAATAGCCAAGATTTGGAAACAGCCTAAGTGCCCATCAGCAGATGAGTG